CGGCCACCGCCCTGCTGCGGGGTGAAAGGGTTGGGGACGGCCTCCATGCTGCCCCGCCCCCGTCCCCGGGCCGGCTAGGCGTCCTGCTGCTGGATGAAGGGGTTGGGGATGGCTTCCATGCCGTCCTGCGGGCAGATGAGCACCACCGACGTGCCCCGGCACACCACCAGGCCCAGCTGCCGGGTGTCCTCTGTGAGCTTGTACTGGTCGTCGGGGTCTGGGGCAGAGCAGACAGAGGACTCAGGGAGCTCCGGGAGGCGTCCGAGACCCCCGACCCACCCCAGACCCTTGCTCCCACCTCCCCACCTGCACCCCTCGGGCACCACAAGCGCGCGGGGACCTCAGAGGGCGCAGGCTGTGGTGCAGGGCCACGGTCCGACAGTCCCTGGAGGAGCCCAAGCTGCGGGCACAGGGAGGCCCGGGGGATGGCCGGCTACCCTGGCTCTTGGAGCTCACTGGGGTTCAGGTACCAGGGCCAGAGACCAGGTTATTAGACATTAGACAGGCGGCCAGAATACAGCATCGCAGGCCTCCTGATCTCTGCAAGGTCCCCGGAGCCCAAGGGGGCCAACATTCATCCGAGAAGAAAGAGGCTGGGCCGGGCGCGGTGGCTTACTCCTGTAATCCCAGCACTTGGGGAGGCTGAGGAGGGTGGATCGTGAGGTTAAGAGATCGAGACCATCCTGGCCAACATGGTGAAACCTCAGTCTCTACTAAAAATACAAAAAGTTAGCTGGGCGTGGTGGTCCATGTCTGTAGTTCCAGCTACTGAGGAGGCTGAGGCAGGAGAATCGCCTGAACCCCGGAGGCGGAGGTTGTGGTGAGCCGAGATCGCGCCATTGCACTCCAGCTTGGGCGACAGAGCGAGACTCCATCCCCAAAAAGAAAGAAAGAAAGAAAGAAAGGCTGTTGATATGGGATGGGGACCCTAGGGAAGTGCCAGCAAGGAGGCTGGAGGCGAAGGCAGGACCTCACTTCTTTGGGCATGCGCTGGAGGGGCAGGGGAGAGCCATGGCCCCAGGTTTTTCACATCTTTTTTAGAGACCAGCTCACCCGCTGGTGTCTACACACTGACTGGGCACTTCAAGGGTGCCTGGCACAGTGAAATTTCTTATTTTAATTTTGTTAGAGGTGAGGTGAGGGGCCAGGAACGGTGGCTCATGCCCGTCATCCCAGCACTTTGGGAGGCCGAGGCAGGAGGATCCCTTGAGGCCAGGAATTTGAGACCAGCCTGGACAACACGGGAAACCTCATCTCTGCTAAAAATAGACAAAGTTAGCCAGGCGTGGTGGCGTGCACCTGGAGTCCCAGCTGTTTCCACTCTCCAGCTCCCCCGTCTCTGCGCCCCGGGAAGACGGAGTTTCCAGCTTTGTGAAAACGCCTAGGAACAGTACGTGCTCAAGCCCGTCCTCCAGCCGCCATGGGGCTTCACGTCGGTAACTCGGAGTCAGGTTTTGTGCGTCTGAGAGGAAGAGCCAGCAGGCAGCCCACGGCCGGCCCCTCACCTCGCCGTCCCCCTCACCTCGCATGTACTCGATGGTGCCGTCCAGCACGAGGTTGAGGAGCGGGTCGAAGCCCTTCAGGATTCCACTGGCTTGGAGAAACCACCGGGGGGAAGAGAAATGAGAATGCGTGAGATGCATCCCGGGCACGAGGCCCACCCCAGCGTGGATCAGGTGTGGTGCCAACTTCTCCAGGGGTGGAGGACTGAGGGTAGGTGAGGGCTCCCGGGGTGGTGGCCGGGGGGGGGGGGCAGATGACAGCGGCCTCCAGAGCGACACCCCCGATGGACAGCAGACCCCGTCTGCAGGGGACGCGATGGCAAACACCAATGGCTGTGTGGGCCCAGGGTGCCGGCCGCAGCTGCTGGCTCGGCCTGCCTGCTCATCAGCAGCCTCGGTGATGAGGCCGTGTGTGGCTGACTGCGGCCAGACAGCTCTAGGCACAGGCACTGAAATGTGAATTTCATGTAATTTCCACATCTGAGACAGTCTTCTTTTGATCCCTTTCCAACTATCTAAAAGCCATGAAAACGATCGTCAGCTCAAAAGCAGGCGAAAAACAGGCGGCGGCACGTGCGGAGATGGAACCACCAGCCGGGAGCTTGGGGCTCGCAGGGAGCAGGCAACGGAAATGCTCTGAGCCCTGGGTACACAGGCTTCAGGGCTTGAGGCAGTCGCTGTGGCTTCTCTCTCCATGCTGCCTGCCCTGCCCCTCAGGCCTCGCTGCCTTACGTCCAGACCCCTGCCCCTCAGGCCTGGCTGCTTTAGGTCACGCCTCGCCGCTTAGGTTAGGGCTCTGACCCGGTGGTGACCTCTGCCATCTCATCCTGCTCCCAGTGTCTGGTGACCCGCCCATCCTCCCTGCCTGGGACGCCTCCCTCTGCTGACGATGTACTTTTGTGCTCACTGAGGGGCTTCCCAGCGGCCCGCCCCACCCTCCTTCTCACCCCTTCCATCTTTCAGGTGCTTCCTCCAGACACCAACCCACCCACACCTCTTAGGGTGCTGCCCACCGTACCATCCCCCAATCCCAGGAAGCAGGCACCCTGGGCATTATTCTGTCTGCCTGTCTCCCCGCAAGGCAGAGCCTAGTGAGCTGGCCCACGGCCGCTCCCCACACACCCAAGGCAGCCCTGTGCAGGGGTGCAGGGTGAGGGTCTGCAAACCATGACCCTCGGGCCAACCTGGCCGGCCACCCGTCCCGTAGTCAAAGTCCCAGGGCCCGGCACCACCCTCGCTGCTCCAGCGCTGACCACGGCGGCTCTCCCTCTCCCTGCATAGTTCAGTGGTTTCAGAGACCTTCTGGGATGCAAAGCTGAAGGTATTTGCCGACCAGCCTTTGCCTGCAGAGGAGGTCTGACTGCCCAGGCTTGGGCTCCCCGCTCCCCGGCTGGCTCTCTCTGCCCTCAAGTTCCTCCCCTGCAAAATGAAACTCATCACCTACACAACGGGGTCAGATGCAGCTGTTCAGGTGCCCGGCACTGGCCTGACCAGTGAGTCCCCCTCTCAAGGGGACAGACGTGAGCACCGAGGCAGGTGGGTGCAGCCAAGTTTCCCCTCCCCTGGAAAGTGGGCTGGGGCTGGTGACTCTGACGGGACAAGATGTCACTCTAGCAGGTAAGTGATGTGACGAAGACAAGGAACTCTGCAGCTGTGATTGAAACCCCAGAACCAGCGGACTGTGAGCCAATCTGGAGGGAAACAGCCTGGGTGAGTCTGAGGGCATCAGGTGAGCCCTTCAGGAGCTAGACCTTTCTGCTCTTCTTTTTTTTTTTTAAGACAAAGTCTAGTTCTCTGTCATCCTGGCTGGAGTGCAGTGGCGTGATCTCGGCTCACTGCAACCTCGGCCTCTCATGTGCAAGTGATTCTCCTGCCTCAGCCTCCCCAATGGCTGGGACTACAGGCATGTGCCACCGTGCCTGGTTGATTTTTGTGTTTTTAGTAGAGTCGGGGCTCTGCCATGTTGGCCAGGCTGGTCTCAAACTCCTGAACTCAAGTGATCTGCCCACCTCAGCCTCCCAAAATGCTGGGATTACAGGCGCCTACCACTACAGCCGGCTAATTTTTGTATTTTTAGTAGAGACAGGGTTTCACCACATTGGCCAGGCTTGTCTCGAACTCCTGACCTCCTGATCTGCCCGCATCGGCCTCCCAAAGTGCTGGGATTATAGGTGTGGGCCACTGCGCCCGCCATGTCTGAGGCTATTTAGGTTGTCACAACTTGGTGGAGGCCAGGAATGCTGCTCAGAACCCTGCAGTGCCCAGGACGGCCCCAACCCAGAGAATGATCTGGCCCCAAATGTGTCCATACTGTTGGTGCAGGGAGAGATCTTGACATGGGTGGGGGAGGAACAGAAGCCAGGAGATCTGTGGGGAGCTGGGGCAGTCCCTGGACACACAGGACTGCTGAGAAAGCCAAGCCTCAAATCCCAATCCCTGCTACGCCACTGTGACTTTGGGTTACGTTTGTTTCCCACTCGGTGCCTCAGTTTTCCTGCCTGCAAAATGGGCATACCAGTTCCTACCTCCCGGTGTAAGTAGCGAGACTGCACAAGGTGGTGAGCAGTCAAGCATGTAAAGAGGGGCCTGCGAGGCCGGGCGCGGTGGTTCACGCCTGTAATCCCAGCACTTCGGGAGGCCGAAGGGGGGGAGAATCAATTAAGGTCAGGAGTTCGAGACCAGGCTGGCCAACATGGTGAAAACCCCCGTCTCTACTAGAAACACAAAAATTAGCCGGGCATGGTGGCCGGCGCCTGTAATCCCAGATAATCGGGAGGCCGAGGCAGGAGAATCGCTTGAACCCGGGAGGCGGAGGTCGCAGTGAGCCGAGATCGCGCCACTGCACTCCAGCCTGGCAACAGAACGAGACTCAGTCTCAAAAAAAAAAAAAAGAATAAATAAAAGAGGCGCCTCCGCATGCATGCGTCCTCATCATCGCTCTTGCTGGGTTTATTTCAATTTGTTTTTTTTTTTTTTTTTTTTGAGACCGAGTTTCGCTCTTGTTACCCAGGCTGGAGTGCAATGGCGCGATCTCGGCTCACCGCAACCTCCGCCTCCTGGGTTCAGGCAATTCTCCTGCCTCAGCCTCCTGAGTAGCTGGGATTACAGGCACGCGCCACCATGCCCAGCTGATTTTTTGTATTTTTTTAGTAGAGACGGGGTTTCACCATGTTGACCAGGATGGTCTCGATCTCTTGACCTCGTGATCCACCCGCCTCGGCCTCCCAAAGTGCTGGGATTACAGGCTTGAGCCACCGCGCCCGGCCTGTTTCAAAATATTAAAAGAGGGGCGCCGACGGCGGGAGCCTCCTCACCTTCGCGGCCTCCCTGGAACTTCACCCGGATCGTCTTGTCGATGTACTTGGACAAGTCCAAGATGCTCTCCTTCTTCTTCTTCTCCTTATCCTGCGGGGAAAGCAGAGCGCGTGAGGCGCAGAGCGCGGCCGGAGCCCCACGCCCCTCGGCTCCGGATATCGCCGCGCGCTCACCGCCATCTTGCCGCGCCGAGCCGCTCTTCGCAGGCACCGCCCCGCGCCCTTTGACCCCTACCGGCTTCACGGGCGCATGCGCGGCGCATGCGCGGTCCGGGGGCTCGAGGAGTTGCTGGGAAACATCTGTCGACGGTTGCGGTGGGTACCGGCCGACATGGCGGCGGCGGCGGCGGAGGCTGCGCTGGCGCGGCTTGTGGCGCCCTTTCTGCTCCTCGCGGCCCAGGTGAGCGCGGCGTCGGTTCCAACGGCCCCGCAGGCTGCGGCCCCTCGGCCTCTCGGCCCCCGGGCTACGCCCAGGAACGACCCAGGTCGTCTCGGGGGGTCCAGCTTCGGGGATCCGCGGTCACCGCGCTGTTGGCCGGCGGTGCTGGGGACTGGCCGTGACCTTGCGGGGCTGTCCCCGGCTCGTCTCCCTTCCCTACCTCGGAGGTCCTCCGCCGCTGCAGTGCCCCTCACTTCCGGGTCTGAAGCTTGTGCCCACTCCATCCTTCCGTTCTGCCTGTTCTTTTCGGGGTCTCCAGCCGCCGCCGGGGTCGCCTGTCTCTGGTTCTGTGGCCTTGGGCCGGCGGCTGCCCACCCCGCGCCGAGCCTCAGTTTCCCCTTAGGCGGAAGGGCGCGGTGCTGGCTAGCCTCACCCTAGGGGGTGCGGTGGGGAACCCAGAGGCGTCCCGCGCGTCCCCCAGTGTCTGGCAGTCCCCTGGAGAGGCCAAGAGTCCAGCCCTGCACTGGTGCAGCATCCCTGCTCCATCTTTCACTCCGTGACCTTGGATAAGGGAATTCCCTGCTTGGAGCGTCAGCTGCTCGTCCGCAGGAGGGCTGGCCATGGTGTGGATTCTGGAGATGATGCCCAGGGTGACCAGCGCCCAGGGCCAGCACGCCCTCGTTATGTTAATTGTGTGTCATTTGATGTAAAGGGCCTCAGGTTCTCGTGGGGACAGTCTACGAGATAGCACTGTCCTAACTGCGTTTCTTATTTTCTTATTTCCAAGTCTTCCCTCTCTCCTGAGTTCGGGGGCCCGAGCAGCCCTACAAATGCGGCCCTTAACCTTGACTCCTCCCTCCGAGTTCTCACTCTTTAAGGCGTCGCTGCCACCGCCTCCTTCTCAGTCCCACTCCTCCAGCCCCACTGTCCTTCCCCTGCTGTGGCTGCCTTTGTCCCCCGTGTCCCCGGTCCAGCCTCGACACAGCAGGAGTGACCCTGTCGCATCCAAATGAGCGTGGCCGTGCATTTGTGGGCTGGCTATTAGAAGCCTGCAGTTCATTGCAGGCGCTGTGCTCTCTGGGCGTTTCTCTTACCCTGGAAGCCCCCCACGCAGAAACTTTCGGACAACCCCACCCCCACCCCCAGCTGCTCTTTTGGCCTCCTGGACTCCCCTCGTTCTGCAGCCAGGGACCTACAGCTCCCCAGACATTTGGAAGGAGGGAAGAACCAAAGGTGAAAGGAAGATCCTGAAATACTGTGGATGGAGGGACTCAGTTTGCCTGGAAAGGCTTTTATAAAGCAGGTGTGTGTGTGTGTTTTGAGAGGGAGTCTCGCTCTGTCGCCGAGGCTAGAGTGCAGTGGTGCCATCTCAGCCCACTGCAACCTCCGCCTCCTGGGTTTAAGTGATTCTCCCACCTCAGCCTCCCGAGTAGCTGGGATTACATGCGTGCACTGTCTCGCTTGGCTAATTTTTGTATTTTTAGTAGAGATGGGGTTTTGCCATGTTGGTCGGGCTGGTCTCGAACTTCTGACCTCAGGTGATCACCCGCCTTAACCTCCCAAAGTGCTGGGATGACAGGCGTGAGCCACCGTGCCCGGCCCCGAAGCAGGTGTTCCCAAGGTTGAGTAGGAGTTTGCCGCGTTCGCAGGAGGGGAAGGGTATTGGCAGCAGAAGCAGCATGGGCAGGGGCTGGGAGGAGTGAGAGCTGTTGGGCTATTTGGGGCTGGAAAGGGGTGAATGCGGCTGGAGTGTAGGGTGGGATAATGCTGGAATGGAGGGTTTCCATCTTCCACCTGGAAGATGTCACCACCTGGGAGGCCTGCGGGTGGGCCGTGGAGAGAGGCTGGGGCAGGGGCACAGAGGAGGGGGCCGTGGTATGAGTGGCCCCAGGCAGAGGGTGAAGGCAGAGCATTGGGCCTCCTGGGCTGGAGGACAGGCCGTCAGGTTGAAGCCAAGTCGTGGAAGGCGCCGGGTGCTGGGGCGCGTGGACTTTACCCTGGGCGGGCTCAGGAGCTTGAGCTTTATCCAGAGTGTGGAGAGCCAAAGGCCGAGTCAGAGGTGCTCCTGCCCCTCCCAGAACCTCGATTGTAAATACACCGAGACCGCCCGCACCTGGAGGGGGCGGGGCTTCCTGCATTGGAAGTGGGAGTCCGTTGCCCAAGAATGAGGCTTGCTCTCGGGGCAGGAACCTGCTTGGTGACAGTCCTCAGCTCACTTGCTACCATTGGGTGACCCTGAGCAAGAAAATCGACCTCCCCAGTGAGACACCCCCCACAATGGAGCCATTCCCCAGCAGGTCTGAGCTGGAGCCGGTGGACCTGGCTGGACCTGGCCTGGCTCCTGGAACTCCTCAGTTCCAGGTTCTGGAGTCACGTGCTTCTTTCTTTTCTCTTTTCTTTTTTTTTTTTCTGAGACAGTTTTGCTCTTGTTACCCAGGCTAGAGTGCAATGGCGCAATCTCGGCTCACCGCAACCTCCGCCTCCTGGGTTCAGGCAATTCTCCTGCCTCAACCTCCTGAGTAGCTGGGATTACAGGCACGCGCCACCATGCCCAGTTAATGTTTTGTGTTTTTAGTACAGACGGGATTTCACCATGTTGACCAGGATGGTCTCGATATCTTGCCCTCGTGATCTCCCCGCCTCAGCCTCCCATAGTGCTGGGATTACAGGCATGAGCCATCGCGCCTGGCCGTCACGTGCCTCTTTCAAAGGCCCTTGACTTGGATGTTTTCACAGTCATTCTGAAGCAGGGTTTCTAAGCCTCCTAGAAGGTTTTAAAGCTGTGTTTAGTTGCGAAGCATCTGCGCTGCAGTTGGGGGGATTCCGAGCTGGAGGCCTGGACTTTGAGCCTGTCTTCGTAGCCTGCCCCAGCTTTTGCTGGCCTTTCACATTTCTGTGAGCCCGACTGGAACTCAGGGCCCTATTAGAGCTGTGGCGCTTGAAGAATTGCTCCCTGTTCCTTTAACTCGGCAGGTGAGGAAACTCTTCACAGTGAGATGCTGCTTTCTCTGGCCTTTGATAGAGGCACAGGCTTGTTTTTTAACGGAAAACCAGTTTTGCGAATTGTGCAGAGGAAAATGCATGAATGTGCTTTTGTGCTCTTAAATGACCCTTTTAGAGAGAAGCAGTTCTGTGGGTTCCCATTTTACACAAAAGACACTTTTCACCGAAGTCCCTGATCCCGTTGAACCAAGCTTGGCAAGTGTTTTCTGGGAAGGGCCGGACAGTACTTCTGCTGGGATTTGTGGCCCATGTGGCTTCTGGTGGGGTCACTTGGTTTCTCCTGTTGTACCTCCGAAGTGGGAGACTCTTCCTTAGGAATGGGCTTGGCTGCGTTCCAATAAAACTTTATTTACAAACACAGAAGGTGGGCCTTGACTGTGGATTCTTGGCCTCTGCTGTGACCCATAACATCCCTCCTGGAGGAGGTGCGAGGGGTTCTGAACACTGGGAGGCTGTGTTGGAAGGGGGGCCCTCACGGGCAGGCAGTCTGATGGGCAGAACTGGGAAGGGGCTCCTGACTCTGCCTCGGCTCTGGAGGTCACATGTGAGGTGCAGGGGGTTGGGCTGGGTCAGGTGCAGGAGGGACGCAGTAGCCAAGTGCTGAGACCCCCAGGGGATTGCAGGGACTGGGGCTTTCACCAGGCTGCCACCCCGAGGCCTTGAGGGCCTTGCCCCAGAAGCTCCCAGACCAGGCCAGAACCCTGTGTGATTTCAGTGAGGGCCCGGCGGTTGGCGAGCCAGTTTGTGCCCGGGTGCTAGGGTTGGTGTCCGGCGCCAGGGACCATTGGGACCTTTGGCCGAGCCAGAACTCCCCGTCCCCAGCCCCAGCTTGGCGGGGCTGCGTCTGCAGTGTGGGCCTTGTGTGAGGTGGAGTTGTCCAGACGAAGGCTTGCTCTCCTCTTCCTCATGTGGTGAATGGCTGTGGCCTGTTTGTTTCCCTGGCAGGTCCTCTGGGGACCAGTGGATGTGGCTGTCTCTCTGCCTGGGAGGTTTACAGCCTGGCAGGAGCCCCGCAGCCCCAGCGGGCCTGGGCCAGGAGCCCGCCCTGTGCAGCTGAGCCCTGCAGCCCCAGTGGGCCTGGGCCAGGAGCCTGCCCTGTGCCAATGAGCCCTGCAGCCATGGAAGGCTGAGGGCTGGGCGCTCCTGAGGGCTGGGCGGGCCTAGGGCTCGGGGGTGGGTCTCCTTGCCTCGCCCATGGCTTTTCTCCTGGGACCCCTCCTCTCTACACACTGGGCACCCCTGGGGTTCCGCACCGAGGGTCTGCAGTGTGGGAGAGCAGCTGGGACCTGCGCCTCATCCCTGCGAGACCCTCTGGTGACCAGCATCCTTGAGAGATGGAGATGTCTTTGTTAGATACTGGCTGGGGACCCTGGGCAGGGGAGTGAGAGGAAGGGGGATGGTGCAGGCAGCGGGCAGCTGCTGGGGGAATCGGGGGAATCGGAGCCCGCAGTGCCCGCAGTGGGAAGCATGGTAAGCGGGGTCAGCTTCCTGCGTGTGGAATCGCGTCTTTCCTCATAGCTCCATCCTGCTCTGTGAAGCCTGAAATTGAAGAGACAGGGGTTGGCCCTTCCTGTCCAGGCCCGTCCCCTCTGTGGCCCTCCTGGGAGGTGTCCAGGGCGTCAGGGCCTGGTCCTGCCCCCACCTGGTTTTGAGAGCACTGTGAGTGCCCTGGCCCGCTCTGTCCCTGGGTGCAGTGGCCCCTGCTCCTCTTGGCTGGCTTCTGTCCCTCGTCCCTGTACCGGGTCAGGGGTTCCTGCCGGAGGATCTGGGCCTTCTCCCTGTGGCCCTTCCTGAGCAGCTGCTACTGCAGGCTGGGAGTGCAGGGACTGAAGCCCTGGCGATTCTCCCTCCTGGAAAGTGAGCTGCTGTGCTGGACGCTGCGGGCTTGGGGCTTTGCGGGGAACGAGACAGTGTCCTGTGTGACGGCATGTCCTGTTGCAACCTTAGCCTGCCCCACTCAGGACCTGGTGCCTGTAGGCCTCTTGGCCCAGCTGCTTCCTGCTGTTCTTCCAGCAGGAGCTGAGGGGCACCGACCTGGGGATCTTCCTGTTCTGGGACCTGCCATGTGACTGGGCCCTCATGTGCCCCTGGAGTACCAGCCAACAGGCAGTGCTCATGGGACTGTGGGTCCAAGGCCACTCAGACCTAGTAGTGTGGAGGCTCGTCCAGGCCTCCCGCCCAGGCCCAGGGCCAGGTCTGCTGGGGCCTGCTCTCCTTTCCCACGGAGGGCTCTGCCCGTGGCTGTTGTCCTCCTGCCGTGCCCACTGGTCCTGGGAGGCGCAGGAGGTGGTAGGACCCCTGTTGTTTGGTGCAGAAACTCGTGGGGCCACAGAGTGGTGACCTGACATACCTGTGGTCACCAGCCCGGGGCTCCCTGAGGAAGGTGAGCTGGTCTGCATCCTTGCTATAAACCATGTACGGTCACGTCCCTGTCTGTCCTGTCGAGAGGGGAAAGCATCCCAGACCACCTCATGAACATGGGCCCCCTTCCTGCGCTCTGTTTCTCGGGCAGTGCGGCCCTGGGCCTCCTGTGCTGTGGTTCTGATCCCCAGCCTTGTCCTGCAGGTGGCCTGTGAGTATGGCATGGTGCACGTGGCCTCCAAGGATGGGGGCCCGAAAGGCAAAGACTACTGCATTCTCTACAACCCGCAGTGGGCCCATCTGCCGCACGACCTCAGCAAGGCAGTGAGTACCTGCTGGCCGGGCGCCCCTGCGGAGAAGCGTGCGTGGTGGCCAGGGCTCCAGAGACTTATCGGGCAAGGGCTGCAGGAAAGATCTGGAGGCAAGAGGCAGGCCCTGGCCCAGTCTGGGGGACCCTTGGGTGGCCCCCAGTTCCCCTAGGCCTCCCTAGTCCTGGTCATCAGTGAAAGCTGTCCACGGGGCCTTGGGATGCGGACTGAGACACCAGCTGAGCCCCATGTGCTGGATAAGTGTCTCTATTGCTCCATGCCACAGTTCACGTCTTGTGGGCCCAGACACAGGGGTCCTTGGAGGAATGACACCAGAGGGCACAGTGGGGTCCCAGGGACGAGACCCATTCCTTTCCCCATCTTCCCAGCTGGGGCACTAGCAACTGTTGCTGGGTGGGTCTCCTCAGTCCCCACCTCCTTTTCCACCGCATCCCTCAGGCCCTGCCTCCTTTCCCCGCTGTGCCTCAGGCCCCGCCTCCTTTCCCACTATATCTCTTAGGCCCCACTTCCTTTCCCACTGCATCCCTCAGGGCCTGCCTCCTTTCCCCTAGTGTCTCTCAGCCCTGCCTCCTTTCCCACTATATCCCTTAGGCTCCGCCACCTTTTCCTGCTACATCCCTTAGGCCCCGCCTCCTTTTCCACTATATCCCTTGGGCCCCACCTCCTTTCCCACTATATCCCTTAGGCCACAGCTCCTTTCCTTTCCCACTATATCCCTTAGGCCCCGCCTCCTTTCCCACTATATCCCTTAGGCCCCGCCTCCCCTCCCCGTGCCTCTCAGACCCCACCTCCTTTCCCACGATATCCCTTAGGCCCCGCCTCCTTTCCCACTGCATCCCTCCGCCTCCTGGATCCCTTGAGGCCTGTCAGCTAAGAGGCACTACCGTCTTCCTGTCTGCTTTGTGCATAGTGTGTGTGTGTGTATGTGTGTGTGTGTGCACGTGTGTAATTGGTATGTGTCTGGATGTGTGCATGTGTCTGAATGCATGTTCTGAGTTCACATCAGTGTGTGTGCATGTGCCTGTTTTTTGTGTGCTTGTGAGTGTGTGTAATAGGTATGTGCCTAGACATGTGCCTGAGTACATACTTCTGAGTTTGTGTGAGCACACGTGTAATATGTGTGTGGGTGTGTGTGCCTTAGTGTGTATATTTGTGGATGCATCAGCATGTGTGTGCGTGATCACGTGTGTGATAGCTGTATGGTGGGAGCATGGGCCCGAGTGTGTCTGTGTTCGTGTGTGCATGTAAGTGTGTGTGCAATAGGCATTTGTACAGATGAGCGAGTGCATGTGTGTGCACGTGCGTAAACACGTAACAGGTATGTGTGGATGTGTGCATGTGCCGAGTGTGTGTACGTGTGTGTGCACATATAACTACGCAATAGGTGTGTGGATGTGTGCATGTGCCGAGTGTGTGTACGTCTGTGTGCACATATAACTGCAGTACGTATGTGTGTGGATGTGTGCACATGCCTGCGGCGTGTGACTCCACATACATGCGTGTGTGTAATAGGTTTGTGTGTGGATATATGTGTGCCTGAGTGTGTGTTTATGTCTCTGTGTGTGTGCATGAGTGTGTGCACCGTGTGCTTAGGCCTGGCTGTATGAGAGTGCATGTGTAATAGGTATGTGCGTGTGCCTGAGAGCGTTTGTGTGAGTTCGTGTGGTGTGTGTGATAGGTGTGTGTGTCTGCCCGAGCGTGAGTACACATGTATGTGGTTGTGTGTATGTGTGTGTGCACACTGTGCTCGGGCCTGGCTGTATGAGAGTGCATGTGTAATAGGTATGTGCATGTGCCTGAGAGCGTTTGTGTGAGTTCGTGTGGTATGTGTGATAGGTGTGTGTGTCTGCCCGAGCGTGAGTGCACATGTTTGTGGTTGCATGTACATATGTGTGTGCATGTGTGTGTGTGCACTGTGTGCTCGGGCCTGTGTGTGAATGCATGTGTAATAGGTATGTGTGTGTGCCTGAGTGTGTGAGTTTGTGTGCTGTGTGTGATAGGTGTGTGTGTCTGCCCGAGGGTGAGTGCACATTATGTGGTTGTGTGTACATGTGTGTGCGTGTGCTCGGGCCTGGCTGTGTGTGAATGCATGTGTAATAGGTATGTGCATGTGCCTGAGAGTGTTTGTGTGTTTGTGTGGTGTGTGATAGGTGTGTGTGTCTGCCTGAGCATGAGTGCACGTGTATGTGGTTGCACGTGCGTGTGTGTGCCGTGTGCTGGGGCCTGGCTGTGCACCGGGGATGGTGCATGCTGTCCTTGTGGACACAGCCGCAGCGGTCCTGGAGGCCCTGGCCCCCTCAGATGAGGCAGCCCAGCCCATGGTCCAGGGCCCACTGTGGGACCCACCGTTGGGATGGCTGTGCCTAGGTGGGGCTGAGGCCGCACGGGCGAGGGCCGGGGCCTAGCTCAGTGCAGGCTTCGGGTAGGGGAAGGAGTAGCTGGGCCCTGCGGTGACTCATATCAGCGAGACGACACCATGCCCTGGCCTTTCCAGCCTCCCTTGCAGCTGCGCAACTGGACGGCCTCCCTCCTCTGCTCTGCAGCCGACCTCCCCGCTCACGGCTTCCACGACCAGATCCCGCTGGTGGCCCGGGGGAACTGTACCTTCTATGAGAAAGTGAGGCTGGCCCAGGGCAGCGGGGCACGCGGGCTGCTCATCGTCAGCAGGGAGAGGCTGGTACGGCCCTGTGCGCCCCTCTCCACCACGGGGCCCGGCCTTTCTTGGTCTACTCTCGGGGGCAGGAGGGGGCGGTGGCAGGGGCAGGGGCAGGGGCAGGGGCTGGTTTTCCTGCATCTCCCTAATGGCAGGCCTGTCTGTGGGGAGGGTGTGGGCAGAGATGGGTCTTTGCTCCCGAGCCGCTGGCTGGGCTGTGGAACACTGGCCGTGTCTTGTGAGGCGCCTGTCCTAGAGCATCCCCCAGGGTGACTGGAGACCACACCCTCCTCGGGGATGGGATTGGGGTGGCTTCTGAGGAGCAGGTGGTCTAGCCCTGAGCTGGTCCCTGAGCTGGTATCGGGGACCCCGGTAACCTGGTCCTCGAACCGACAGGGCTGTGCTCACCTGTGTGGTCCTAGCCAGGCGGCCTGAAGCTTAGCCCCTGTTCCCTCTCCTGTGAAATGGGGCTGTGGCTGAGAGCTGGGGGCCTGATGGGGCCAGCTGTAGTACCGGGACATGCCGCCTGCTGGCTGGGCAGGGTGCACGGCCTCCCTTGAAGTGTAGTTTTGGGATAAGAAGAAAACGGGGTTCAGGAATGCCCTCATAGCCCTGCCTGTGGCTCTGGGCTGGCCGCTGCCTATGCTGTGGCCTGAGCCTGCCAGCCGAGGTGGGCCTGGTGCAGGGGCTGAAGGCTGAGGGCAGAGCGGGCCTCGGAGCGCCGGGGTGCCATCCCCTTCACTTGTGCTGCCGTCGAAGTTGAGAGAGGGCCTCAGTGGGTGCAGGGCTCAAGGTGGCTTAGTGGGCAGGCATGGGCCGTGGCTTTTCCTCTGGGGATAAGTGTCACTTAGGACATGTGTGTGCAGTTAGGGAGTCCCACGGCCGAGGGAGGAATCGTGGCTCTTGAAGCCTGGGGCCCTGTCGTCAGGTGGGGAGGACTTGGTGACTTTGGTCCTCCTGGGAGGCCGGAGGTTGCTGGGTACAGAGGGGAGCATGCAGACGCCCCAGCCTGGCCTGAGCCTCGAGTGAGGGTCCCAGGAGAGGAGGCGAGTGGGCACAGAGCTGGGGGCCCACCTACTGCCGCCGGTGATGCCTGCTGCTCCCTCCTCTGGGCCCCCAGGTCCCCCCGGGGGGCAATAAGACGCAGTATGACGAGATTGCCATTCCCGTGGCCCTGCTCAGCTACAGAGACATGCTGGACATCTTCAGGGTAGGTCCCGGCCTGCTCACACCCGTGCTCTCGTGGCGTTGGGGCTTCGGGCCGGCTGCCGGGGGTGCGGGGGGGGCTCGTTTGTCAGTTGGTGGGATCGGGGTGGTGGGGGAGGCGTGGCCCCTGCAAGCCTGGGTCCCCAGTGCTGCCCCGTGGCTCACGGCTGCCTGGGCATCCACGCTGAGGGCTGGCGGTGGCCCTGACGCCACCTCTGCTGTGTTCGCCGAGGCAGCGTTTCGGCCGCGCGGCGCAGGTGTCGCTGTATGCGCCTAATGAGCCGGTGCTGGACTACAACATGGTCATCATCTTCATCATGGCCGTGGGCACCGTCGCCATCGGCGGCTACTGGGCCGGGAGCCGGGACGTGAAGAAGTGAGTGCCGCGCCGTTTGTGTGCCATGACGTGCGGGGCAGGTGGTTCTGACAGTGGGGCCGGGACAGCCAGCCTTCCCGTCCATGGCAGCAGTGAGTGCTTTGGGTGCGGCGGGCACAGCTCACCCCGTGGAGCCCTTCCTGTTGTCCTCAGGAGGTCGAGGGACAGAATCAGGCTTTTTTCCTGCCTGGGTAGGCTCCGGGACCTGGTGTGGGTGTGACAGGTGTGGGCGTGGCGGGTGCGGGTGTGGCATTTGGGGGGCTGGGCGGGTGTGGGTGTGGCAGGTGCAGGCTTGGCAGGTGACTGGGGCCAGCTGCCCTCTCCTGCTGAGCCACCTGGGTCCAGGGTGGCCCCTTGTTCAGGGATCTTTATGCAGATACAAGCTGTGGTCGCTGCCCACACGCCAGCCTCTGGCCCCGCCTAGTGGTTGCCCCGGCCCAACCCAGGGACGTGGGCCCTGCGGCCCTCTGCTGTGTGGTCTCCTCTGTCCTGGGGATGCTCAGGACGGTTCCTTGTGCTTCGGTTCACTCCCACCGCTTCCCCTCCTGCTCTTGGGTTTTCTGTCCCATGTCCCTGGGTGGCTGTGGGCTCGTGGCCTCCTGTCGGCCAGCTGGCCCCAGTGCCCCGTGACCCCGTGGTGTCTCCCAAGAAGGTACATGAAGCATAAGCGTGACGACGGGCTGGAGAAGCAGGAGGACGAGGCGGTGGACGTGACGCCGGTGATGACCTGCGTGTTCGTGGTGATGTGCTGCTCCATGCTGGTCCTGCTCTACCACTTCTACGACCTCCTCGGTGCGCCAGGCCTCCACGGGCACTCGCCCCGGGCGGGTGGCCAGCCAGCCCCGGGTGGAGGGAGGGTGGCGTGCGGGCCTGGCCCCTGACATCATGGCCCTGCCCCTGCAGTGTATGTGGTCATTGGAATCTTCTGCCTGGCCTCCGCCACTGGCCTCTACAGCTGCCTGGCGCCATGTGTGCGGCGGCTGCCCTTCGGCGGGTGCAGGTGAGGCTGCCTGGGCCCGTGTGCCTGCCTCTGTGCTGTGACGCCCACAGCCCCCATGTGTGGTATAGCCCAGGGTATACAGCAGGTGCTCACTCAGTGCCGGCCTAGGGCCCCTACGCCCCGGAGCAGGGTGGAGTCGGGGTGAGCTCTTAGCGGAGCCGACCAGCAGCCAGGCACGAGGGGCAGTGGGGGAGGGTGCCCTCGTCCCCAGGAACTCTGCCCTGGTGTCAGGCTGGTGGGGGCACAGGAGGGTGCCAGGGTTCTCTGCAGAACCCGGAAGGTTTCCCTCCACCCAGAGCTTGGCCTGGCTCTCAGGGGTAAAGGGAACTGCCAGGGGGCTCTCAGACAAGGTCAGACCTGGGTCTAGGAAGCAGGACCTGCCCAAGGGGAGACCTTTTGGGTTGCCGTCCCTGGGTGGAGGTGGAGGCTTGGAGCAGGCAGGGCCAAGGCAGAGGGAGCCCAGCACAGGTGAGGGGGCTCTTGGGTAGAGCCAGTGGCCCCTAATGCCTGCCCCAGCCAGGCTCTGCCCTGCTCCGCCCCACCCCGGGGGCACCTCCTTTGTCATCGTGTGGGGATGTGGAGTTTCATAGGAGGACAGAGTGGGGGCTGCCACTCTGAAGGGGGTGCCTGGACAGGGCCCAAAGGCAGTGGGCAGTGGGATGAGGCCGGGGCTGGAGGGCTTCACTCTGACTGCCCTGTGCCCCCCAGGGTCCCCAACAACAGCCTGCCCTACTTCCACAAGCGCCCGCAGGTGCGAATGCTGCTCCTGGCGCTCTTCTGCGTGGCCGTCAGCGTGGTGTGGGGCATCTTCCGCAACGAGGACCAGTAAGTGCTGCTCCTGGGCCCTGGCAGGTGGTGGCGTGCCCACCCGGGTGTCCTCAGACGCTCCCTCCCTCCAGGGCTTCCGGGGCCCTGACTCCCTTCCCTCCTTGGAGGCTGCCCAGCCTGGAGCCACTTGAGCGCCCTTAGGAAAAGCTCTGGCCCCAGGCTGCCCCGACGGCGTTTGTCCCGGGCCATAGGAACCCTGACTGGATCTGGGAGGAGAGGCCGAAGCCCCATGGCCCTGGTGCCACGTCCTCCGGCACACCTGGCTGGGACTCCTGTGCGGGGCAGTGCTGCCCAGAGCCACTGTCTGCCCCTGCTGTCCCCGTCCTGGTGCCCGTGGCACAGCACAGGTCTGAGGCCCAGGGCGCGGGTGCCAGGGTCCCCGACCCTCTCGGTCATGCCTGCTGCGGCCCCGAGCAGTGACGGAGGTGCCCGCACTGCTCCCCACATCCTCACCTCCCACACGGCCTGGACTGTGGCTGCCTCCCGCTGGCCAGGCCTCCTCACGAGGGCGAGCGCCTGGCACAGTGTTGGGAGGACAGAGCCGGTCTGTCCCCGCCCGGCCCCCACCGCTGTCGCTGATTCCATCTGGCACTTCCTCCCAGCTTTCCCGAGGCAGCCAAGTGCGCTTGGCTTTAGTACGGCTTGGAGCCACGGCACGTTTAACTGGCAGAAGGAAGACGTGAAAATATTTTGAATCCTTTGTACACAAAGAGAAAATGAATTTTTCAGTTACATCCGAGCCAGGAACTTGCTCCAGCACGTGAAGTTAGAGCAGGCCGGGGCCGGCTGGCCTGTGATCCCTTCATCTGGGAGGCCAAGGCAGGAGGATCACCTTACCAAGGCGTGCAAGGCCAGCCCGGCAGCAGAGCGAGCCCCCGCCTCTATTGCAGAAGTAATGTAAAATAAGAAAACATAGCCGGCCGCAGCCCTCTGGGTGTTGGCGGTGCCTGGTGCCTGCAGTCGGCTGTGCTGGCGTCTCCTGTGGAGCCCTCTGTTCTTAGCAGCCGCCCTGCCCGGGAGGTGTTTTTATCCCATTTTCAAATGAAGCCTTTGATGTTCGAGTCGCTGTGGAAGGTGGGGAAGTTGTCCAGCAAGTGACAGGCAGAGCCGGCGTGGGGGTCAGGCCAGCGAGGAGGGGCTGTGGGTTCTGCCTGGGGCCCGGAGAGAGCATGAGGTTGCAGCTGGCCAAGGGGGCGGTGGCCTTCTGCAGGAGGCAGTTCTGTGCTTTGCCCTGGGGACACCAAGTGCGTGGCGGCTCCACCCACTGCGGACCGACAGGCTGTGAGGAAGCCTGGTGTGGTACGGGTTTTTCTTTAATAAGCAGTTTGGGCCGGGCACAGGGGCTCACATTTGTGATCCCAGCACTTTAGGAGGCCAAGGCAGGTGGATCACGAGGTCAGGAGTTCAAGACCATCCTGGCCAAGATGATGAAACCCGTCTCTACTAAAACTACCAAAATTAGCTGGGAGTGGTGGCTCATGCCTCTAATTCCAGCACTTTGGGAGGCCAAGGTGGCAGATCACTTGAGGTCAGGGGTCCGAGACCAGCCTGGCCAACACGGAGAAACCTCATCTCTACCAAAAATACAGAAAAATTTGCCTGCCATTGTGTCGGGCGCCTGTAATCCCAGCTACTCAGGAGGCTGAGGCAGGAGGATCCCTTGAACCTGGGAGGCGGAGGCTGCAGTGAGTTGACACCATGCCATTGTGCTCCAGCCTGGGTGACAGAGTGAGACTCCATCTCAAGAAAACCCAGTTTGGAGGGGTCAGTGCTCAAGCCCTCCAGCGCATGCACCCTCTGCCTGGCGCCTGCCTCCAGCTTGACGCCCACCGTCTGGGGACAGTGACTGAGGGGATGCAGCTGGCCAGGCCTGTGTCCACTGTCCTGGCTGCAGAGTGGCCGCTCCTCCACCTGCTTCCACAGGGTGGGCCTGGGGCTGGAGCTGTGACAGCCGAGGCTCCTCCCACAGGCCTGGGTCCTCAGGGTCATCCCGTGGGCAGGTGCAAGGGCAGCGTGGCCGCCCGCTGGCCGAGAGCAAGGGCCAGTGAGCCTTGCTTGTGTGGCTCGTGGAGGTGGCGTCCCTGGGGGTCAGCGAGCTTCCGCCCCGGCGGGGCTGCTGCTTTGTCTTGCAGGTGGGCCTGGGTCCTCCAGGACGCCCTGGGCATCGCCTTCTGCCTCTACATGCTGAGGACCATCCGCCTGCCCACCTTCAAGGTGAGTGAGGGGGGCGCGGCCTCGGGGCAGCATGGGGAGGGGGGTTGCAGGGCAGCGTGGGGAACAGGGCTTCCCCCGGGCCTGGCCTGTGCGGGGCTGTGGTCCTTGCAGGTCTGTTCTTCCGCTCACTGTCCTGGGGACGGCCACCGAGGCCTGCTGCAGAGGTTGGGGCTTGAAGATTGGGTCCCACGGCCCCTCCCAGGTGGCATGGGCGGGTGGCTCTGGGCGGTGGTTCCGACGGGCACCTCCCGTGTCTGGATGAGGTGATGGGGAGAGCAGTTGAACAGAGCTGAGGCAACTGGCCTCTGGGTGGTGCTGGGAGCGGCTGCACTCCTGTGGTGCCGGCATTTGCATGCCTGGGACGCCCTGGTATCCCAGAGCCCGCGTGGTCCCGGCCTCCGCCCTCCTGTCCCCGTTGTCGTGTTACGGGGAGAGTCTACGAGCCGGACTTTTGTCCTCCAATCCCACCCCGATGTTGCTTCCAAAGTGCGCTTCCGCGTGGCGTGTCCCCAGCACTGGGCGCGCTGTGCTCAGGTTCCTTTAAAGGCTTCCTCCCCAGGAGGAGGTACTGGGCCTCGTGAGATAGGAGTGGAAGTGGGGATTCGGGGAGGCGCAGGCAGGGTGGGGCCGCCCTCAGCCGTGGGCTCCGCAGGCCTGCACGCTGCTGCTGCTGGTGCTCTTCCTCTACGACATCTTCTTCGTGTTCATCACGCCCTTCCTGACCAAGGTGGGCACCCGTGCCGCCCCCCAGCTCCATCACCCCGATCCCCACCCCGTCACCCCACCTCCGCTCCATTACCCGGCTTCACCCCGCCGCCCTGCCCTAACACCCCTCCTCCGCCCCATCACCTTGTCCCCCCACCCCATCACCCTGCTCCCGCCACCCCATTACCCACTCCCCCCACCACGTCTCCCACTCCCCACTGCCTGTAGTCCTCACTCCACCCCCTTCTGTGCAGAGTGGGAGCAGCATCATGGTGGAGGTGGCCACTGGGCCCTCGGACTCAGCCACCCGCGAGAAGGTGCGTCCCCTGACTGAGAGGCTCAGGTTGCACGGGCCAAGGTGTTGCGTGGAGGGGGGTGGGGCTTGAGGCACCCGGCTGTCCGTAGAGGGTCCTGGAGGATGTCTTCCTCTTTGCATCTTCACAGCTGCCCATGGTCCTGAAGGTGCCCAGGCTGAACTCCTCGCCTTTGGCTCTGTGTGACCGGCCCTTCTCCCTCCTGGGCTTCGGAGACATTTTGGTGCCAGGTACTGAGGCGGGTGGCACGTGTGGGTGGTGCTGTGGGGCAGGGCCCCGGGTGATTGAGGTTTGTCTCTGGGTGTGAGGGGCCCGGGCACCGTGGGCTGGAGAGGAAGCCCTGAGTGTCAGGGTCAGCCAGGGTGGGGCTGTCGAGGCCCGGGTGCCTGGGCAGCGAGGGCAGTGCCTGGGTGGGATGGGGACCCCCTTGGTGCCCAGGGAGTGGGGAAGGCCTCCTGATACACACAGCCTCACCCCATCCTGCTCGGGGCTACACAAGGGTTCCTGCAGGGCCTGGGTCCCGGTGAGCTGCTGCAGAAGACAGAGACCAGACACTCCCAGCCTCAGTGTCCCCGGGGTCTTGCCGGGCGTGTCTGCCTGGCCTTTGCTCTCACTGTGGTCTCAGCTTACCCACTCAGAGTCACGGCAGTTCTGTCCTAAGTGAGTGTGTGTGGCCCGTCTGAAATGACAGCAGCCACCAGGCGCAGAAGGCCACGGCACCCACAGGTGCTCAGGCGCCTGCCGCTCCCTGGGAGCCCCTGCTCTGAGGCTCTGTGGCTGGTGGGCCTCCACCCTGTTCCTCCCCAGGGCTGCTGGTGGCCTACTGCCACAGGTTCGACATCCAGGTCCAGTCGTCCAGGGTCTACTTCATGGCCTGCACCGTCGGTGAGTGCCTCGGCCCGGCCTGTGCTGGCTGCCCCGGCTCCAACCCCGTCCTGACTCAGCCTGTATCCTGACCCTGACCCTAACCCCAACAACCCCGCCCTGACTCAGCCTGTATCCTGACCCTGACCCTAACCCCAACAACCCCGCCCTGACTCAGCCTGTCTCCTGACTCTGACCCTAACCCCAACCCCAGCTCCAACAGCATGACCCCATAACACCCGACCCTAACCCTAACCTCAGCTCCAACAGCATGCCCCGTAGCACCCTGACCCGACCCTGGCCGCTCCGGGAGCCGGCCTGTGCAGCGCCCCGCTTTCTCATTCTCCTTGGCTTCCATTGTTCTGTTCTGTTCTGTTCCTTTTTTTTCTGTTTTCCCCTTTTTGTCTTTTTTTCTTTACCTTGTCTTCTACTGTTCTTGTTACGAAAGTATTTACACAAAAGTGCCGTTTTCTGATGACCCAGATTGTTTTTAAAAACGCCCCCTACCGCAGCCAGCCCCCAAGAAACCGTCGTCTGGCGCTGGTGCTTCAGGTCGGCAGGCAGGCTGCCCTGCTGAGCCACGCCCGACCCGCCCGTCTGCGTGGTCCCAAACGCCCGCTCCCGGGCTGGGAGGGCTCAGGCGGCCTGCGGTGCCCTTTGGTTGGCGGTGTCCCCCTCATCCCTGCTTCCTGCAGCTGCAGGTGCCCCTGGCCTTCCCCTTGCCCCGTTGTACCGTCTTCATACTTACCCTTTAAAATCATGGCTGAGGCCAGCCGCAGGGTCTCACGTCTGTGATCCCAGCGCTCTGGGAGGCCAAGGTGGGTGGATTGCTTGAGCCCAGGAATTCAAGACCAGCCTGGGCAACGTAGTGAGACCCTGTCTCTACAGAAGAATACAAAAATTAGCCAGGCATGGTGATGTGTGCCTGTAGTGCCAGCTACTCAGGAGACTGAGGTGGGAGGATCGCTTGAGTCTGGGAGTTCAAGGCTGCAGTGAGCCGTGATCGTGCCACTGCACTCCAGCCTGGGCAAAGGGGTGAGACCGTGTCTCGAAAAAATAATAAAATGAAAGAAAAAATAAAACAGCTGCAGAGATGTCTCTCCTGAACCGTAATTTGTAGAGTTGTCCCCGTAAGTCCTGAAATTGAAGCCGTTGAGGTGTTTTATGGGTGCCAGCTCTTCGTCTCTGCTTCTGTTGACGATCGCTGATGGATGCGTGGATGGTCTGAAATGGACGAATAGGGATGCCCCTGTGCCATGGTGTCGGAAATACGGAGATAAGTGTTGGGAAAAGTGCCAGGAGCTATAGTGAACTTGCTGGACACAGTGGCTCTGTTTCTGTAGTGTTCTAGTAAAAAGTTAATTTTCTCGGCTGGGCGCAGTGGCTCACGCCTGTAATCCCAGCACTTTTGAAGGCTGAGGCAGGCAGATCATGAGTTCAGGAGTTCAAGACCAGCCTGGCCAATATGGTGAAATCTTGTCTTAAGTGAAAATACGAAAACTAGCCAGGCCTGGTGGCAGATGACTGTGGTCCCAGCTACTCAGGAGGCAGAGACAGAATCGCTTGAACCCGGGAGGCGGAGGTTGCGGTGAGCCAAGATCGCGCCACTGCACTCCAGCCTGGGCGACAGAGTTTTCTCACCTTTGCCTTGAAATCATTTCAAATTGCAGTTGCAGGGTCAGTACAGAGAACTGTGTGTCCCTTCTCAGAGGGACTGGTGATTTTGTCACACCCGCTCGACTCTGTTCTTTCTCTCCACACTCACACTCACACCCACGTGTGCAGCTGGCCCTCCCCACCCATGCGGTCCACATCTGTGGACTGAAAAGACTTGAGGACAGATGTCGCCTCTGTGCCGAACGCAGATTCTCTTGGTCGGTATTCCCTACGCCGTGCCGTGGGACAGCGAGTGCCTGTGCTGATGTCGTGTTTGTGTTTGTAGGAACCGAGGGTGATTTACGGTTTGTGGGGTGTGCGTGGTTCTGGGCAGACGCTGTGCCAGCTGACGCCAGGGAAGTGAGCACGGGGCTCGCAGCCCTCTGCGGCTGCTGGGGCGGCCGTGTGCCCATCTGTGTACTTGAACGTGGGAGTCATGGCAGTTCTGTCCTGAGTGACTTTAAAGAACGGGCGGGCACCCGCCCCCGACCCCAGGCCCAGCGTTTCACCAGGCGTCTCCTGAGAACGCAATGTATACGCCCACGGCTCGGTGTCGCGGGGTGGGCTCTCTGGTCAGGCACGTGTCTCCTGCTGACTTTCTCGTGAGAGGTTCATAGAAACTGAGTTCTGTTCATGTCTCTCAGCCCCCTCCACGCTGCCCAGAGCCCGGCCTCCCTGTCCTCTTTCTCACCCTGGCCCTTCCTTCCATGTCTTTGGGGACCCTGACGTCTCTCACTGGCCCTGGCGGGGGCAGGGTGGGAGTACAGCCCAGGAGGTGCCAGAAGGATCTGCATACTCTGGGGAGCCCGTGGCCCTGTTGGCTGAACCCCGCTCTCCCTCTCCCGTCCTTCCACACCCCTTTTCCTCCACTGCCCCCCCAGCCCGCTCTGGCCTTCCAGGGACATGGGTGGTGGCCCCCGAGGGCCAAGCTGAGGTGACACCCCCTCTGTCCCCACAGCCTATGGTGTCGGCCTCCTCGTGACGTTCGTGGCGCTGGCCCTGATGCAGCGTGGCCAGCCCGCCCTCCTCTACCTGGTGCCCTGCACGCTGGTGACGAGCTGTGCCGTGGCACTCTGGCGCCGGGAGCTGGGCGTGTTCTGGACGGGCAGCGGCTTTGCGGTGAATACCAGTTTGCTCTGACTGTGAGAAATACTCGCCTAGTGAGCCCTAACTAGAGTTAAAGTTGAGTGAGATCTCCAGCAAAGAGGGGTGACTTCCTGGGTTCCTGGGACTCAGGGACATGGCACTCCGGAGCTGACCTCGCCCCTCCGGGCAGCGCCTCTTGGAGGCCATGACCCCTGGGGGAGCGTCCTGGGCATCAGTGCGGCTCCTCCCGTAGCCGCCCTCCCTCTGGGGGAGATAACCGTGCCGCTGCGTGGCAGTCCTGCAGCTTGTTTTGTGGAAGTTAAGCCACACGCATCCCTCTGCACTGGTGTGATGTGTTGGGTTGAGCTGGGCTTGTAGGTCCCACAGCTGGAACCATGGCCTGAGACCAGGCCCGAGGTCTCCTGGGGCCAGCACCCCCACACTAAAGGTCTCCCCATTCTGATGGGCATTTTAGAAGGTTCAGGAGAAGCCAGGGACCAGGCCCCAGCAAGGAGAGACGTGGGGTCCAAGGTTTTCTTTGGAAGGGGCTTGCGTAGCTCCCGGCCTCTGCTGGCCTCCGACGGCCCCTCTGTGGTCCCTGTACCGACGGGGTCCTGGGCGCCTCCCTCGGGACACTACTGCTCATCCCAAGCCCAGGTCCAGAGCCCCTGGGGTCAGCACCTCATTTTAACCCTGCCGCCGTGGCCTGCGGGTACTGGGTGTGGTGGCCCCTGCCTGGGACTCCTCTGGGTTCCTGTCGCTGCCTCACCTCCGCCTCCCTCTCCTGCAGAAAGCCCTACCTCCATCTCCGTGGGCCCCAGCGCCTGCCGACGGCCCGCAGCCACCGAAAGACCGTGCCACGCCGCTGTCCCCGCAGCCGCCCAGCGGAGAACCGGCTACGTCCCCCCGGCCTGCTGAGCGGTCCCCAGAACCAGGCCCGCCCGAGGAGATGGGGCCTGGAGCCCCCACACAGGAGCCCGGGAGCCCGGCCGAACTCGAGGGCCCGGACCAGGCCCAGCAGCACCCCGTGGCCCCGCCCGGCACCGTGGTCTAGGGGAGGGGTGAGACGCTCGCAGCTGTGCTGTCCACCAGGATGGTGGGGATGCCTGGCGCCTGCCGGAGACAGACAGACGCCTGCTCCCGGGACTGAGCCTGCGCCGGCCCTGCCCACCCTGACATGGTGCTGATCCTCACCAAGGCCCCCGCGGTCCGCGCCCAGCCCCGCCCAGCTGCCCCGGCTGCCCACCTGCTGCTCCAAGCTCACCCGGCTGCCACAGGCCTCCTGTGGTCCGTCCTCCTCGCCGGGTCCGTCCTCTCTGCAGACCTCCAGCGCCGTCTGCACGAGGGAGCTGCCCACGGCCGCACTGGTGCTTACCGGCTGCTCCGTCCTTCTGGTGACCTTCCTCACGGTGTCCAGCTCTCCGGGCTGAAGAGCGGCTCTCTGCCTCTGGGAGGCTAGCCTTTCCCTCCTGCGCGGACTGGAGACCCGTGGGGCAGGGTTTCGGGCGTGAATGAGGCCGGCCTCACGTGAGCAGACGAGCTGCTCCCCTGGCCAAGGCCCCGCCACCCTCAGGCAGTCCCGGGGCGCCTGGCCGCGCTGCACACTCCTCCCCGTCTTAATAAACGGTCGCCACTGCTGCACGTCCAGCGTTGCCTGGTGGGGCGGCAGTCTCAGACTGCCCTTCTGACAAGGGGGATGGGCGCCAGGCAGGCCGGGTCAGGCCCTTGGGGGTCCCTGGGGCTGAGGGAGGGAGGGTCTGGGCCGCAGGAGGCCGCAGCAGCTCCCGGCACCCGACCTCGCTTCCCGTGTGGGCCCCGTGTGGCTTCCGCGGAGAGGGGCTTGGCCCTCAGCTCTCCCTGTGGCGAGGGCATTGGTGTGTGAGTTCGTAACCCTCTGGACCCCGCGGCCAGGAGCTTCTGGAACCTATATCCTGCCACTGGCGTGGTCTCCTCACCAACCCTGCTGGTTCTCCCGACCCCGTGGCAGAGATGTCCGCGCTAGAACTGACCGAGGCGTGGCCCTGGCCTCCTCCCATCGCTGCACGTGGTCACTTCCAAAGCAATGGAGCCGCATTGCACGGTACAGGGCTGCCCGCCGTGCCAGGACCCTGGCCCTGCCCACTCCCGCCCCTTCCACGCAGCCTGCATCCAAGTCCGCAAATCTGTGTCTCGATGTTAAGCCAGGCGCCCCCAGCTGCACATGGGACTGCTGAACGCTGCGCTGTCTGGCGGGTCTGTTTCAGACAGGTGGCCGGGGTGAGCCCCGATCCCTTCCCAAAAATACCAGCAGGAGACTCGCAGGCACCTTTGAGCCGCGTCCCGGGGAGTAGTGGCGCCTTCCCTGAAGCCATTTTGTACATGGGACGGGGTGGGGACTTCTCTTTTCTGGTGTTGGACCTTTGACCAGTGTGGAGGGGTCAGAGGTGGCGGTCCTGGCCTCGTCTCTGGCTGTCCGTTTGGCCTCGCTGCCGTTCAGTCTGATCATTAAACTCAGCTTTTGATACACGTGGCCCGGCCTCTGCTTCCGCGGTGCACAGCCCGTAGCATCTGCTCCGTGCAGGTCCTGGTGAATGGAACTGAGAACAGGCAGGCCGCCGGGCTGTCCTGCAGAGGACGGACGGGAGCTGCTCCCGCAGGGCCGGCCAGTGCCATGAGGTGCCCAGCGTCACTCCCGCGGGCTCTGCGGGCCGTGGTCCCTGTCACGCTTCTCGCTCAGCCGCTGTTGGCTGGAAAGCATCACAGACCACATGTAACATGGGCCAAACTTGAGATGGGGTCTTGGAGTGTTGCCGAGGCTGGTCTCGAACTGCTGAGCTCAGGAGGCCCTCCCACCTCCGTCTCCCAGAGCGCTGCAGTTACAGACATGAGCCACCACACCCGGCCCCCAAATAACTCATCATGCCAAACCTGACGTTGGAATTGTAGGGCATTCTCACATCCCAAAAGAGTTTGTTACTCTTCTCTCTCTTTACAAATGCGAAGACCTGTCTCGGCTGCTTCGGGACAAGGTTTCGTTTCCAGCTACTGCTGGCCGGCCCTGGGCCTGTGGGGAGCTGGGTGATGGGTGATGGGCGCAGGTTTGTGTGCGGGCCGAGGGGCCAGTGTGTCCGGAGCATCTGCCAGGCATCAGGGACTGTGTGTGTCATTCTAGTCTCACAAAGTTCCCTGTCACATTAGAGAAGGTGAGTCCCAGGCCGGGCACAGTGGCTCACACCTGTAACCCCAGCACTTTGGGAGGCTGAGGCCGAAGGAGTACTTGAGTCTTGGAGTTCAAGGCCAGCCTGGGCAACATAGCAAGACCCCATCTCTACAAAAATTAGCTGGGCGTGGTGGTACACGGCTGTAGTCCCAGCTGTTCAGGAGGCTGGGGTGGGAGAATTGCTTGAGCCCAGGAGGTCAAGGCTGCGGTGAGCTGTGATCGCACCACTGCACTCCAGGGCGACAGAGCGAGACCCTGTCTCAAACAAAACAAGACCAAACCCAGCAAGCCTCTGAGGCCATGTGGCTCTGAGGGACCAGAGACATGGCTTCCTGCAGGCCCTGAGCCAAACCCCACCTGCCTGACTGCGTGATGCCCTTGGCCTTAGTGTGAAACGGGGTGAGGATGCAGCGAGAGGTTGGTGCTCAGGCCTCCCCACACACGGAAAAGCTGAATTCAGACCCACTGGGGAAGGGACGGCTTCATCACGGAAAGAAAGCAGATTCCAGAATACTTGAAGTCACAGTTGCATTTCATTTTTTTGTTTTGTTTTGTTTCCTGAGGCAGAGTCTTGCTCTGTGGCCCAGGCTGGAGTGCAGTGGTGCCATCTCGGCTCCCTGCAACCACCACCTCCTGGGTTCCTGTGATTCTCCTGCCTCAGCCTCCTGAGTAGCTGGGACTACAGGTCGGCACCACCATACCAGGCTAATTTTTGGATTTTTCGTAGAGATGGGGTTTCACCGTGTTGGCCGGGATGGTCTTGATCTCCCGACCTCATGATTCGCCCACCTTGGCCTGCCAAAATGCTGGGATTACAGGCATGAGCCACCACGCCCGGCTGCGTTTCGTTTTGTAACTTGAGCCGTTCACCAATACACTCCCGAAAGAGCACCACCATGGCCTTTGCAGGGGGGAGGCACTGCTCAGAGGCTCCTCGGCGATGGCTCTGAACACTCCTCCCCTGGGGGCCGCTAGTGGTGATTTGTCCTGTCCAGGGAAGGAAAAACTTGCTGTGTAATTAGCTCCAGTGGACTCGAGCCCCAGGGCTGAAGGTTACAGTTCAGACTCAGCGCATGGAACCCTGGGCTCACACCACGTCCACCCGTCACCTCCTGCGGTCGTGGGCAAGTCACTCTGCCTCCAACTCCCTGTCTTCTGGAAAGTGGGTTAGTAATGGACCCACCGCAAGGCACAGCAGCCAGGATGCCACCACATCAACCATCTGGTAGGACGCTTAGAAGCAGTCATTACTTTCGCGTTGGTGACACACTTGGTTCAGGAAGATAGGCTCGTGGCGGACCCGGCACGTGCCGGAGCCCGGGGGTGTGTGCGCCTTGATTGCCCAGGTCACACAGGGCCCGGGGATGTCAGGGAGAGGTGGAGCTGGGGAAGTGACAGCAGGCTGCTGGCTGGCACTGGGGAGAAGAGTTTGTTTCTTTTCGTGGGGAGCACACCTCTGACTTGCAGTTTAAGTTACAAAGTGGCATGGTATGGTAATAATAGTGATTTTCTTTCACTAAGGTGACCATAGCGTCCACATTTTTCATCCACCCACCTATCCATTTATCCAACCAGCCATCCATCCATTCATTCATCCATCCACCGACCCACCCACTCACCCACCCATCCACCCATCCACTCATTTATCCAACCATCTTCCCACACACCCACCCACCCATTTATTCATCTTTTCATCCACTCATCCATCCACCCATTCACCTATCTACCCACTCATCCATTTATCTAACCATCCATCCACCCATCCACATACCCATGCATCCATCCATCCACCAAACCACCTAGTTATCCAATCATCCATCCACCTATCCACACAGCCACCCTTCTGTCCACCTACTCATCCACCCATCCATCCATTGATCCACCATCCATTTACCCATCCACACACACATCCATCTCTCCCTCCATCCAACCGTCCATCTACACATGCATGCCTCCCTCCATCCATTTATCCGACCATCCATCTACACACCCATCCATCCATCCAACCACCCATCCATCCATCCATCCATCCATTCATCCACCCACTTATCCAACCATCCATCCACTCACCCACACACCCACCCATCCATCCATCCATCCATCCACCTATCCACATACCCATTCATCCATCTACCCATCCATCCATCCATCTACTCATCCATCCATTTGCCCATTCATTCACCCACCCATCCATTTACCTATCCATCCACCTATCTAGTCACCCACCCACCAATCCATCCATCTACCTGTCCATCTACCCATTCATTCATCCATCCACCCACCCTTCCATTTATCCATCAACTTACCCATCCATCCACCCATCTGTTTACTCACCCATCCATCCATTTATCCACTCACACATCTGTCCATCTATCCACCCACCCATCCATCCGTCTATCCACCCACCCATCCATCTATCCACCCACCCATCCATCTATCCACCCACACATCTGTCCATCTATCCACCCACCCATCCATCCATCTACCCACCCACCCACCCATCCATCCATCTATCCACCCACACATCCGTCCATCTGTCCACCCACCCATCCATCCATCTATCCACCCATCCATCCATCCATCTATCCACCCACCCATCCATCCATCTACCCACCCACCCATCCATCCATCTATCCACCCACCCATCCGTCCATCTATCCACCCACACATCCGTCCATCTATCCACCCACCCATCCATCCATCTATCCATCCATCCATCCATCCATTTATCCATCTATCAGTCCATCTGTCCGTCCATCCAACCAACCATCTATCCAAACATCCATCTACCCATCCACCCATCCAACCATTCATCTATCAGTCCATCTGTCTGTCCATCCACCCATCCACCCATCCACCCACCCATCCACCCATCCATCCACCCACCCACCCATCCATCCACCCACCCATCCACCCATCCACGCATCCACCCACACACTCATCCACCCACCAGTCTTCACTGCTGTGTGTCAGGTCCTCTACTAAGAACCCCCTATGGCCCAGGCAGAGAGCTGCTAGCTGCATGAGGAATTGGGACTCAGTGTTTGGGGCCAGGTGGGAAGTCATCAGAAGGTGAGAGGGTGGAGTTCTAGAAAGTGCGCACCAGTGGCCCTGAGGAAGAGAGGAGTGGGGTGCCCACGGGGTCACAGGCTCTTCTCCACGTGGCTCAGAGCAGGTTAGAACTGCCTCTTGGGAAGCACCCGCAGCCCACAGCCCCACAGAAGGGTGGGCAGGAGAATGCAGCAATGGGAGGTCCTGGGTGTGGAGCCCCAGCTTGCATCCCAGGAGCTGGGTGATTCTGGCTTTCAGAGCTGTAGCCACCTCCTCTGCCTAAAAGGGGGTGACAACTACTTTGATGAGGTCATCACGAGAACCTAGTTGAGTCCCGCTGTGTGCCAGGTACACAGCACATACTCAACAAACTGGACCATTCTGCAGGCAGCTGGGGAGTGTGCCCAGGTGCTGGATCCTCTGGGACTGCTCTCCCTCCAGCACCAGGCTTGGCTCCCCAGGGCTTGCAGCATTTCTCAAAAGCAAGTCACCACTTAAGGCACAAAGATATTGCTGCCAATGGTAGTAAAATGGGCTGGTATCTAAAGGCAGTCCCAAAAAAATGTCCCCAAAGTCTCCTGAGATAAGAGATAAGACAATGGTTCTTTTTTTTTTTTTTCTTTTTCTTTTTTTTGAGACGGAGTTTCGCTCTTGTTACCCAGGCTGGAGTGCAATGGCGCGATCTCGGCTCACCGCAACCTCCGCCTCCTGGGTTCAGTCAATTCTCCTGCCTCAGCCTCCTGAGTAGCTGGGATTACAGGCATGTGCCACCAGGCCCAGCTAAGTTTTTGTATTTTTAGTAGAGACGGAGTTTCACCATGTTGACCAGGTTGGTCTCGATCTCTTGACCTCGTGATCCACCTGCCTCAGCCTCCCAAAGTGCTGGGATTACAGGCGTGAGCCACCGCGCCCGGCTCTTTTTTTTTTTTTTTTTTTTTTTTTTTGAGACAGAGTCTTGCTCTTTCGCCAGGCTGGAATTCAGTGGCACGATCTTGGCTCACTGCAACCTCTGTCTCCCAGATTCAAGCAATTTCCCTGCCTCAGCTTCCTGAGTAGCTGGGACTACAGGCACACGCCACCATGCCCAGCTGATTTTTTGTATTTTAGTAGAGACGTGGGTTCCACCATGGCCAGGATGGTCTCGATGACCTTGTGATCCACCCACCTCGGCCTCCCAAAGTGCCAGGATTACAGGTGTGAGCCACTGCACCCAGCCAAGACAGTGGTTCTTTTTTTTTTTTTTTTGAGGTGGAGTTTCG